GTTTTGTTTTGTTTTTTTTTTTTAAATAATAATTACAAAGTTAATATTGAAAAATCTACATTTGCTTAGCTCAAACTCATTTCCTGTCGAAAACAGTTTTGCGTTGATTCAGAGATTGCTATTAGATATGAACAGTGCAATCACATTTTCATATAAACATCTACAATCTATCTAGTCACATTTGGTGGCATCTCTTTAGTTAATGAAGAACTCTCATAATCTATTAGTGTATCTGGACAACTCATTCTATTAGTGTAAGCATAATGAATTGACCAAAGAAGAAATAAACACTACCATTACATTTAGGTTAATAAAGAACAACTTCTTTTCTAGATTTTATTTGAAAAAGAAAAGAAAATGAATTGAAAATGTAATCATGACAAGTTTCTGTGAACACCTTTGTCATTCTTAAATAAATATTGATATCATTGATTTGTCTTAGATGATTTAGTCACATCCAACAAACTTTGTCATGCAACAGGACTGTTTCGAAGTTCAGGGTTCCTGTTCACAGAGGTCAAAGTAGACCTTGGAAGACATGGAAGGACAGCATTGGGAGGAATGTGCAGCCTTGCTCCCATTAGCCCACTTGACAGGGATGCTTGGAAAAAAAGAGTGAGAGCTAGCTGACTGTTGCCTACCCCTGGAAACCTGTAGCAGTGTAATCAAAGCTCCATCTCTTGACTTGATTATATGTTGGGAAATATTTGTATGAATAAAAAATGTTGACTACTTGTCCCTTCACTACTAGAAATGACGCTTTAACACACAGAAAATGCATTGCTCCTGTTTAGGTTCTCCAAACTTATTTGTTTTTCTATCATTTGAGTAGCATGTGCTAGACAATTGGCAGTGTCTCAAATGTCTTGGTTTGTAGTCAGGTCAGAAGAGGAAAAAGTAATTGTGAATGAATGCTTGGCAAATAGAAGCTCATGGTATACTAGTTAAAAGATTCTGTTGCAAAAGTGTTAAACACTGAATGAGCTCAAATTTAATTACATTATTATTTTTTTTACACATAGGCTGTTAGTTATGTTGTATATGTTTGGTCCTACAAACTTATGTAAGAACCTATCTTACCTACAGTTTTATTTTAGTATCTATTCTAGTCTATGTGTAATCAATACTTGACAGTTTTGACAGAATTAGTCAATTTGTGTTTTAATTCAATATTAATTATCTATTAAAATATTTTAGTCACTTTACATCTTTGAGGTTTTAAATTTGTTTTGTCATTGTGTATCATATCCAGGGAGAAGGAAGGAGGATTTTTTTTCTTTGCCTCCAAATAATGTGAACTTCGTTTTTCTCGCCCCCCTCTCTCTCTCTCTTTGGTTAACCCTGATTAAACTTTTCTTGAATAGGAATTCAAAATTAAAGGTTGTAGTTACCAATCCATGATGTAATGATTGAGCTAGTAATTTGATAATGAATTAAGTGGAGAAATTTGTGTATATCTAGCCACATTAAGGAGAAAGAGTCTATAAAATTGTATGGCTGCTAATTCTTATTTTCCTTTAATAGACAATTGATCTAAGTAGGAAAAGTTGTGTAATTTGGTAAAGATTGCAAGAAGTTAAATGGGTCTTTTAGAAGACCCCTTGGTGTAAAAGTTTGCCTAAGAGTTCTACTGAACTAAGCCATTTATCATACAAACATTTTAAAATATAAACAAATCTTTGCCTACTTGCTGAACAAAGAGTATGAAATTTGATACATACCAATTTTTTATCAGCACAGATCAATTAATTGTATAGACAACAAATTATTTGAGAAAGAAGAATAATGTGGGACAAAAAAAAAATGTGCGTAACATCTAAGAAATTACAAATATATAACTGGGTTGCTTTGCATTTGTTAATCAAAACTACCTCCAAACATTTCTTGAAGGATGATAACAAGCTTCCATCAGCAATAATATATCTTTTAACTCTGCAGCTTTAGACATTTGATACTTCCAAACTTGATTCTTCAGCTTTTCTCATAAATTTTCTATCAGGTTCAGATCTGGTGATTGGCTGGGCCACTTGAGAACATCATTAATATGCTGCTGCTTCAACCCAGTCTAAGTTACCTTTGTTGTGTGTTTGAGATCATTGTCCTGTTAAAATAACCAGTGTCACTTCATCTTGAATTTTCTAGAAGAGATGAAGTCTTTGAAAATAGCATAATTTGGGGCCAAGTTCATAGTTAGGAATTATCTCCTGTACTTGCAGATGAAAAATATTGTCTTGCATGATATTGCTACTAGCGTGCTTCATGGTTTCCATTGCTGCTAGTACTAGTACTACTATGAGTATAATTACTATCAAATAAATTGAATTTGATCTCATCTGACCACAAAATGTTGAAATGGGTATCTCTATTGATATGCTTGTTGGCAAACTTAATATATGCCTCATCATGGCTTTTCTTCATTGGTAGTACTTTGCTAGATCAACATTTTTATATTCCAAGCAGTATAGATTTTGACCTGCCGATCAGTCCATTGCTTATGTCTTAAATGCGATTACTTGTAGAATTAGTGAGGCACCTGACAACAAATATTAGATATTTCAAAGGTCTTTGACACTGTGTAGCATAAGGGTTTACTGCTCAAGCTCTTGAGCTGTGGGGTCACTGGCAGAGTCTTCTCAGTTAAAAAGTCCTTCTAAACAGGTAATTTCCTGAAGGTAATTGTTAATGGCCAGTCCTCCAAGTCCCAGGCAATCAACACGGGAATCCCCCAAGGTTTGTTTCTCTTCCTCCTCTACATAAATGATCTGCCTAAGAGTATACTCCGATCATTTGTAAATATCTATGCTGATGATACAACAGTATGTGGTTGCACCTCCAGAAACCTTGATGACTAGAGCTTGGCAGCTGACCTCTCCTCTGACCTAACTCTAGCAGCTCAGAGGTGGGAAAAATTGGCTGGTAACATCCAGTGTCCTCAAAGACCAAACTAGTGACCTTCCACCATCACCAGTTGGACCCAGAACTTTCACCAATCATGATGAACAGATGTTTTCTCAGGGAGGCCCCCGTGCCTTGAGCACCTGCCTATTGGGACTTAAGCTCAACCCAAACCTCAAGTGAAACTTGTAAATATGATCCTTCATTAAAGAGACTGCGAAAATGATTGGTTCCTGGTACTGCTCTAGCAAGTACCTCACTCCTCCTTCTATCCTCTACCTTTACAAGAGCCAGTACTGCTGCCATATATGGCTGGGAGCCACGCAGTCTTCCCTTTCCGGTCTCAATAGAATTCAAAAGTGTCTCTGTGTCTTTGTAGATCACAAATTATTTTCCATTCTGCAACCTGTTTCTCACAGGCAAGACATCACACACCTCTCACTACTCCATCACTATTTCCATGGTGAGTGTTCAGATGAACTACACTCCTTATTTCCTCTAGTCCTAACCATCATAGCTAAAGACCTACCATGCAATGCAGATTGTAGCAAACCACTGTCATTCTCTTCATATCCCTCTAATGAGATGTAAATTCCACTCATGCAGCTTCCTCCTATGAACCACTGTCTTGTGCAACCATCTCACAAGACATTGCTCCTTTGATCACTATAACGTAAACCTGTTGAAGTCTCGGGTTAACTTATTTTCCACACATATTCACATAAGCTGTACCTCTTACTCTGTAACCCTCTGCCTCAAGTGATCCCAGGGTACAGGGTGAACACCTCTGTAAAAAAAAAAAAAAAAAATTCCACATGCCACAAAGTGTTGTATATTGTTTTGCATATTACAACTGAAGTCATCAACCAAGTTTTTCCAGGTCATTTTTGGTTGCTGTTAGACCATTTGAATCAAGTTTTAAATGGGCACATTTTGAAATCTTTTTTGGAGCACTGACTTTAGTTGGTTTACAATAGTTTTTTTTCCTGAATTATCTTCTGGACCAGGTTTACCAGAAAGTTGAACAGCTAAAAGAGCTTTCTGTAGCCTTATATTCTTATGCAATATTATTCTTGACTGCCAAAGTATGTTCTTTTGTCTTTGGTTTGGTAGAGATATTCTCTCTGCTATGTTCAGGTATAAAATGATGAATTGCCACACAATAATTGAATGATACCACAGAACAATCTAGTAAATTCTATAAACATTATGATCTTCAATTGACTGCTTCATTCATCGGAGGGGAGCTGGAGCCAGAATAAACAGACACTCTCTTCCAGTTTGATCTGTTAACTGTATGGCTCTCAGAAGTATTGGCATTGTCATGTCTAGTTTTTCTCTAAAAGCATAGAATGTGACATTCAGCATTCCAGTAGTTGTATCCTGCATTGGTAGACTGAAGTTGTTTGTTGATCTAGGCCTTGACTAATCTGGTATGGTGTTACTTTGATTCTTCTTCCTCATGATCCTTTCACACAGTTTGGCAGTGACCATCTCTTCTCCAATATAAACATCAACATATGTAAATTCAATTATTGTTATAATAATAATTATTAAAAAATTACACTTGCTCCTCATTATTCATATTATCAAAATATGTTGTATATATAATTGAGCTGTAATGATAATTTTCTAATTCCTAGCCTGCTATGTATGAAAAATTCATGCTCTTATAAATTTATTTGATGAAACAATAATTATTTTGTCACATGTTAAGATGGTAAATAGATAAAGTTTTGATGTATTTTTGTTGATGAACAAATAAAAATTATAAATTCTCAACATTAAAATGTCACTCCTTATACATTGTTTTAATGTCTGTATTTTTTAAGCTGAATATTACTATTTAGTGGTTTAAAAAATAAAACTCTATGTAAAATTGGTGAAGTATTTTTCTGGCATTAAATTGCAACATCAAAGCTTTAACTTTAAGTTCCAAAGTTGAAATAATTTCAGTTTGCTGAAATTTATCTTGGGATATATATCTTATATTCTGCATAATCAGTTTGTTTACCATTCATTTCGTCAATGTTATTTTGTTGCTTTTTTGTTTCTGATTCCCTTCCTATTCCTCTTTAACTTTTTTTTCTTTGTTACCTTTTCAGAGAGATGATTGATAAGCAGGTAACGCCGGCAGACGATGTCAAGATGCTGTCACCTGACCGGTGTGCACATATCCATGGGCCCCCTGCTGTAGCAGTGATGACTTCTGCCAGTCACTCTGCCACCGTTGCCTCCTCCTCTTCCACCTCAGCATCGGCATCTGCCACCACTTCATCCTCCTCTTCCTCCTCGTCTGCTTCCTCATCATCATCCTCCTCATCATCGTCCTCATCATCAGGTAATCCACAGACTCCAACCTCCACTACATTGGAGATGGCTGATATCCAGACCACAGGCGGAAGTGGAGGAGTGCAACTGGCCAGTACTTCGGCCGGAGAAACCGTACTGACTGCTGACTTCAAGAAAAAACATGATAGTGTGGTTGCAGGTAAGTGGTGAAGAAAAGCCATGATGATAATGATTAAGTAGTCTTACAAAATAAATACTGCATCAGAAAGTTCTAATCCAATTCCTTTTTCTTCTCAATCAACTTTTTATCAATCTGTATCAATCAGGAATTGTAGCTGGTCACTCAGAAATATTGAATTATTACAGAGGAAAGGTTCCTAAAATTTAAAAAGTAATTAAAATTTTATAATTTTCCAAGATACTTTACATAATACATATGGAAGCTGATTCTTTTTCTACTTAGAGAATTTTTGAAAATACCAGTTAGTATGCTGGATATATTTCTTTTTTTTCTTTTTTTTTTCTGTATAAGACTGGTTTCTTAGGATTACTCCTGATTCTTTGCAACTATTATTTCATGTTTAAAAATGTTTCCTTTGTTTTCCAGGTAGTAGTAGTAGTAGTAGTACAGGCAGCTCTACAAGATTGTGTCAAGTTTGTGATGATAATGCATCAGGTTTTCATTACGGCGTATGGTCATGTGAGGGTTGTAAGGCTTTCTTCAAACGAAGTATTCAAGGTGAGTTGATAATTTTTCATTTAATGCACAAAAGTAAAATTGTGTCTTGGAACATATTCTAGTCAATTTACAAATTAACGTTTCATACCATGAAATCAAAATAGCTGACTGGAAGTTGTGTTGTGGTGACTTGGTATAAATTTGATCTGCTGTTCTGTTTTCTTTTTGTCCAGAGTGAAAAATCCTTGTGATAGATGTTATATCTGGAATTGTTTAGAATTTAGAACAGCAGATTGGATCCAGGGAAATTATGATATGAAGTTTGAAAACTTTCAATGTATGACAGTTTTTTATTTTTGAAATTTTGAAGAATTGCTCAAAAATAACCCCAAAAAAGTAAAACCTGACTTTAAGTGATGCTTATAACACAGGAAATAAAACTGTGATAGCTTATAAAAAGCAGATACTTTCCACTGTATTTACTCCTCAAACCAACCCTATCAGAATTTGGTGAACACATTAGAATGCTATAAAATAATTGATATATTTAATACTGTCAAAATGTCTCACCTTTTTAAAAAAATATTAACTTCTTTTGCAAGTATTATGTTTTATTATGCACCTGGATAAAAGATTAATTGTGCACCTGATAGCAGAAGAACTAAATATGGACAGGGAAACAGTGGCAGATTCTAATGGAGGATTTGGGAATGAGAAAATCTTTCCCCAAAAATGGTGCCTTGAATCTTGTAACTGAAGCAATATTGTTTTCATGTTTCATCTGAGTTTTTGAATAATACAGAGCTATTTGATGGGATCATTAGTGGGGATGAAATGTGATGTTTTCAATACGTTTTGCAACATGTGAATACATTACTGAAAGGTATATCCCAAAACAAATGTTCCAAAAATGTTTCCAGCAATGGTACCATTGTCACACAAAGTGCATAGATTTACAAGAAGTCTACTTTGAAGATGACAGCAACTAATCTCCAATGCACGGTGGAGTAATGGATAGCGGCTCCAATTGAGGAATCAGAGAGCCAAGTTCAAATTCCAGTCGAATCCTTTACGTTCACTTACCTGCTATTACCTTTGGGAACGGTATGAATCCTCTTTTTCTCCCCCCAGTTATGGGTAAATAGCAGGACAGACTGGGTTCTGTAGCCTTGTCTACCACAGAAAGAAATGGCAACCTACTGCAAAAAAAAAATTTGCCTCATCAGTCATGTATCGTAACTGACTGGCATTTTTGCTACAGATTGTTAATCTGGAACAAATTTCTGATAAAACTGACTTTCAGATTGTTTGAAAGTTATTTCTATACAACCAACACTGGGATAAGCAGAACAAAACTGCTTTGTGTGTGTGTGTGTGTGTGTGTGTGTGTGTGTGTGGTGGGGATAACTTTAGAAAATGTACTTTTGCCTTGTTTTACCTTTTGGTATAGTCCAACCACTTTTTTCCAATTGTAGGCTAATATATGGTTTATCATCTAAGAAAGGATTTAAGCTGAATAGTTACTAAAATTTTGGGATGAAAATTATGAGGATAATGAACTGAATTATAGGAGTATAAGAAACACATGATTTAAATGATTATAGATATTGGAATGTACATCCACTGGTCAAAAACTTAAAAGAAAAAAAAATAATCACAAATAAAATCTTTTTTTCTTCTTTTTCTTTACTTTGAAATTTTTTTTTTCTTAAGATGTAATTATGGAGTGCAATATTTAATCTGTTTATTTTAGACTAGCAGCAAGGCCTGGCGTTGCCCATGCTTGATTCAAAAATCGTACGACTCATACAGCAATCGCTATCACTTGACTTAAAATATTTTTGCCCTTCTTTGCCTTTAAAGGAGTGCCCTTTGCTGTGCTGATGTTGCTACATGCCTTACTTCTTGCCTATCTCACACTGCAAATTTTTTTTAAGCTCTATACTAAACATTAAATCTGAAAAAACTAAACAAAAGGAACACAAAACAATCAGCTTTAAAAAAAAGACTCATAACTGGAAAAACCGAATGAAAAAGAATGTTAACAACAAATACTTTTTCACACCCAACCCGGTTCTGCGGAATCAGAATCAACGTTGAGTTTAAGCAAGCGAATGAGCCAATTGGAGTAAAGCGCCATGCAGATTTAAATTTTCCCACTTGTGACGAATGCAGCTTTTGATTTTTTTTTTTTTTTTTGCATGCTAGTTAACATTCATGTCAGTCAGCTGTTGGCTCTCATGCTGGCCAGTAGAATCTTCCTGCCTATTCATGGCAGCCAGCTATAGGCTCTCACTCTGGCCAGTAGAAAATGGCCACAAACTACATGAAAACTGCCATAGAAGCATGAAAAAATCGATTATTTCCACTATCGATGGGAGTTGGGAAATGGAAAGTCGGTCTTGGCCTTCCCGCTAACTTGGAGCATGTGCATGTAAATTTTGGTGCAAATCCATAAAAAATTGCAGCCATGCATTCGTTACACACAGACACACACATCCTTCCTTTTATAGATAAAGATTTGAGAACTCCTTCGCCTAAAGGAAGTAAGCAGTTGTCACTCTCCAAGGAAAAAATTCACTCACTTTATGATAAAGGTCATAGATTCAGAATCATCAAGCTTTCTTGATGGTTGTAGACAGCTTTCTCTGAATTGATCTTTTCAAACATCTTCGATGTTTGTCTGGAACCAGGGAAAAAAATCTTGACTTATCAGAGATGATAACATTCTGGAAGAAATTAATTTCTGTCCTACTAGAAATTTTTTTTCAATCAGCAATATTCTTTCACAGTTGAAAGTTTCTTCTTTATTCCTTACTGGAAATGCAAAATTCTTTGGTATACCTGATAGTATGTTTGGAAACTCTTTTTTTCTATCACTAGAATTAAAATTCATAGACAAAAAAATGATTGTTTTGCTTTGCTTTTTTTTAATAAACATACATACATATATATATATATATATATTAGAGAGAGCGAAATATTATTTTGATAAATTGGGAGCCTTTATTTTTCCAGATTCCTTTTTTCTGATAGCTAATCCTTTTTTATTATTATTATTATTCTGGTGGACAATTCTTAATGGATTGGTCAATGCAGTATAAATTTTCCCCCATTTAACTTCATGGTCCTGAAGCCATGACCTTCATCATAAAGTGTGACAATGTTTCCCTTCATGGCTTACTTATTGGAGAAAGTGTATCAAGCCTAAAATAAATAGAATATATCTTGCACTATCAAATTAAATCCCAAAAGAAAAAAAAATTCATCAAACATGTTAATATACATACAAGTTAGAAGAACTTGAATTTCATAGTTTGTTTTTTTTTTTTTTCACTTCATTTGTTTCTGTATCAAATAAAAGCATTTTAAGAAATTTGCAGCTAAAAATAAGTACAAGAAAAGAATCCTTTAAACTGCAAACAGAATTCAGTGCCGAAAAAACCAAAAGTCTTAATTAAAAAAAAAAAAGAGACTCTAATAAAGGTTCAAAGTCACAACAAAAAAAATTGATTAGTTTTTATTTTTAAGGAAAGTGAAATTAAAACAGGTATTAAATTTTAAGAAAACTCAGTTCTACAATAATGTTTTGATTACTATTTTTTGTTCATCTACAAATACCTGCACTTTCTAGACTCTCAAATACTGGTTGCAAGAGCACACTTGGCACATTTTTTTTAAATGGATACATTCTCTGATTTTGTTTTTCTCTTTTTTTTTTTTTTATTGCTGCTGCTTTACTCAGAAATCATAATAATAATAATAATAATAATAATGTCACGGATAGTTTTGCATTTGTCATATTTGTCCAGACTAATGTGCCTCTCTGGCTTATTCAAACAGTTCCTCTCTCTTGTTTGTCAGTTATATTTTTACATACCATATTTTTCAAAAAAAGTTTTTTCTTTTTCAAGCAGTTCAAAAATAGGTTAAAGAATTTAGAAATTCTTGCCATGGCACTGACTTCTGCTGCAGAGACACTTCATAAAAGTCAATAATTTGCTATTTTGTTTTTCAATTCTGTTTCCTTTAATTTGTCCCTCAGACCATTTTCTTTTTGTCATTTGTTATTTGCATTATTTGACCTTAATGTGGCATAAACAAGGAGTATAGTGGTAATGGTTACCAAACTTTAACGCAAATGCTTGTCTCATTGTTTTGGAACAAAGTATACACCTCAAATTTTCCCTCTATGGAAAACTGCTACATGCGCTCCTCCTTTTCATTGGTGCAGCTGATACATTGGGATATGTGAAAGTTTATCAGTGATGCTTATATCAAACAAGAGAATGATAGATGAAATTGGCAAATGTCTGTGACTCTTCTCTCTATTTACATTTCAATACAGTATCTGCATGTAGCCAGTCATTATGACATGGCATCTATCCAACAAGACAACAAAGAAAAATTTCATTCTTTCACTTGAATCACTAGAAAGTTATTCACGTTTTAACCATTTTTATTTGAAAAAAAAAAAAAAAAGGTCTGCAAAACTTGCACTTTTGGCTAAATTGGATAAAGCAAGTTGTGTCTGTAATTATAAAGGAAAAGAATATGAATAAATAAGTCTTTGATTATTCTTTATATCTTATTAATACACTTTTGTGTGGTATTGGTTAAAAGTTTGTACATTGTATTTTATTCAGGTCCGGTTGACTATGTGTGTCCAGCAACTAACAGCTGCACCATTGATAAACATCGACGTAAAAGTTGCCAGGCATGTCGACTACGTAAATGTTATGAAGTTGGTATGAATAAAGGTAGGAATCAACTTTTGATTTTTGTTTTTAATATTTAAATCAATTGAAGTGATGAAATAGTTTAAAAAAAAAAAAAATATATAGTTGATATGATTAGTAAAGTGAATTCTTGAAATAGAAACTAAAGTAGGAATAAACATTTGAATAAGAATGCTAATTACTTTGTGTAGTATGTCTAATAGCAATTCTCCATTGCTATTTCTTTTTTCTTTCCTCACACCACTGATAAACAAACATAACAGATCAGCTCTCTTTTTCTCTCTTGCACGATTTAAGGCAGTGCATTTGAGAAAATTTACAATTAGAAACATTTTGTAAAATATTATTTCATCAATTGTATAGGCTAACCTTTCTTTCTTAAATTTAACTAATGGACTTTCTATCTTCAGGCCAGATAAAGCCTATCCATCATTGTTCATTTAATGTGGGAATTGAGTATTTGTTGGTTTGGTAACCTGTTTTATATAATTCTTATTTTTATAACTACAACTCTTAAACAATTGCAAACACCCATTGCAAGTAACAATCTCACTGGATTAAAAAAAAAAGAAAAAAAAAGAAAACTGCCCTTCTCTGCTAAACCACTTGTCTGAGCTTTTTCTTTTTCTGTACATTGCATCAGATCAGAGCTTAATGCCCTCACCACCACCACTGAACTGCCACATAAATTTTTAATTTAAATAATTTTAAGAACCGTTTTTTATTCAGGTTTGAATAATTAGAACCTTGTAAAAATTTACTGTTGAAAAATGAGATCATTTTTTGTTCTCTACCGGCTTTGTCCCTCATAGTAAATTCCTCCAAAAACCTCAATATTTTCTTTCTTTTTACTGGTCCTGTTTGAAGATAAGCAATAACATGAAAGTTCCAACACTTATTTCTCTCTTGCCTCCGACTGTAGGCAGTTGTTTTGTTCTCATCTACTGGTCCAAGTACTTCACTTTCAACTCTATTCTAGGTGTTTCTCTGTCAAGATTTTAACCTCAAAGGAGGCCATCTGAAAATGTTTGTTACAAAGTTCTTCTGTTCAACTTCTTACTCTTCACTTCCTCCTATAACAGCTTTGGAATTGTTAATCGAAGAGCAGAGTTCCATTTCCCATTGGGTGTGTTATATTCACTTACACGCAAATACTCTTGGGAAAGGGTATGAATCTACTTTTTCTTCCTCCAGCTAGGGGTTAATTAGAAGGACATTTATCAGTAAACCATTATCTCAAAAAATAAATTAAAAAAATTGTTACAATCGATACATGTTTTCTGGCTTTAAATAACCTGCAAAGGGTTGATAAGCCGTAGAAAATGAATGAATCAATCATTCACTTCTACCTAATCAATTTTCTTTGTTTGTGTTCACAGGTAGTCAAAGAAAGGAAAGAAAAAACAGCTCCAACCAAAGTAAAGCAAAGCGCAGTAGTGCAGACTTCTCCGACTCTACAGTTAACTCAACCAGTGGCAACCAACCAGCCAAGGTGATGATATACCATCTTTCTTTGATCTTTGTCCTTTCAATTCTTTCCCTACTACTCCATTTTTCACTCACCCCTATACATTCCAGAAGAGCATTAAAAAAAAAAAAAGGAAATTACACTTCTACTTTGTGTATAGATATGTTAGACATCAAAAGGGTGAAGAAGTTTACTATGCAGTCTATTTTATATTTTCTTAAGTTGTGGGTAAAAATGTATCTATCTTTGCAGGCTCAACAGCAGAAATGGTTAAAAAAAAAATGGCTTTTACCATTTATCACATTGACAAGAAAATTTTTCAGTATAAATGGAAATTATCGCTACATATCTTGGATTGCTGTTGATTTAATCCTATGCTATTTCTGTTGTTCCTCTTTTGCTTATCCTCATTGGGCTTGTTCCTTTCCTTGCTATAAACATTAATTGCTGAATGCATTTTATAAACTAATTTTTGTTGGTTTCTCTTTTCAGTCACAACGCTTATCAAAGTCTTCCTCTCTAGTTGAAGAGCTCTCCAAGAACGATTTTGCCGTCCCTGAATGCAAGCTCAATCCCAGCATTCCTCTCAACAAGAATTATTTACTACAGCTTCTGATCCAAGTTGCAGACAAGGATCTTGTACAATTAATTAATTGGGCAAAACATATTCCTGGTAAGCAAAAGGAAATTAGTATGATTTTGCAGTATTTCATTTTTCAATTTTCTCCATTAAACCAAACTGAAGCATTAACTGGATTATTTAAAAAAAAAAAAAACATATGAAATAAGAATTCTTTGTTTTCCTTAATTTCTTTGGTTTACACATTTAAAAAAAACTCTAAATATTTTTATCCTAAAATTTACTAAAATGAAATGTAATTCAACAGACTCTCAAACAGGCAGAATATTTAATGTTTAATAAACTTGTCTCTCACCCCTTCCATACTTTTACAGTAGCAATATTGTACAAGACAGACCCAGCATGTGCTGACAGTGTCAATCGTTTTTAAGGCCAATGAGGTCTGGTCTAGTTCCTTTCTATGGAAAGGAAGAAAATTTGATTTTGATAATTAAGGATGTGTCATGCATTAATTGATGCAGGAACACATTTTTGCCTCACATTTTGACAAAGAATGATTCTTTTTAAAAAATTATGCCAAAATTTTGCTTTTTTAAAAGAAATATTTAATAAGCACAATTTGCTGGAATATGTGCAAAATCTTGCCTCTCGCCCCCCCCCCATCTCTAAAGTTCTCTCTAAAAATTACTATTGCTCAAAAATACGAAACTGATTTCATTTAGCTTTGTGTTCCCAAGGTTGGGAACATGTTCCAAAATGGGCTATCAGGCTCCATGGTTAGAAACCCATTCAAAAGGTGGTGGGGGGGGGTTGATGTCCTCCCCATTGGTAATCCCCCTAATGACTGGCTTGCTTTTGACCCACTTGCATTTCTCCCTCAGCACAAAATAGCTCTGAAGTAAGGTATTAATAAATTTTTAATGAAATATGTTTTTGTTATAACACACTTAACTTTTTTTTCTCTCCAGAGAGCATTTGAGTGTATAGTAAAAGAAATTGATGTTAATATTGAAAGCATTGTTTGTCTATCTTCAATTTTGAGAAATCCTGATTACAATTCCTTTTGTTGCACATTAATCTCATGGTTATATTAAAAATTTAAATTATGTTAAAAGTAAATACACATTTTTTTAGAACCCTCTTAATTTATGTTTGATGGAAAAAATTTTATGATGGCTGTTAAAAAAAAAAAAAAAAAAAAAAAGATTCCTTTTCTTTCAGTTTTAAAGACTACAATATTTTCCAACCTAATTAAATCCTCTTCATTGTTGTAAAAAGGATCATTTGAGGATGATTATTATCTGCAAAATTGCAACTTTTTCTAAAGATTCACATTCTGAAGCAAATAAATACTAAGAGATTTTTCAGCCCTCCTTGATTCTTAGACCAACAAATAGAAAAATGACCAGTTGCTAACTTACATTTCTTGTCACATTTACAACATGGGATTAAAAGAACAATCTAGATAAAGACAAGCTTTTCTCTTTTCTAAAAAAGAAAAACATTAAGAATACAGTGACAATGCTGTTTTTTCTGATCCTTCAATAAAACAAGTACATTCATTAACATACACCAATTGATTTTCTAGAGAAATATCCAAAGTCCAAGTATGAAAATTACATTTCCAACAAGTTTCCCAGTTTTTACTCATTGTGATAAGAGCTTAGCACTTGGACTTTACTTTTTCTCTAATAAAACATTAAGATCTTTTATGCTTGAGTTGTGTTGACCACCAAAGAAGATTAACTTGAGAAATAATTTTCAGGTCATCATTGATTTTGGCTTCAAGTTTTTACTTCATCTCCAGAAATTGTATATGTCAAGTTTTAAAGAAAAATTTCCTTCTCTGATGTAAAATGACTCCTTGTCAGTTTCCCTACACATAACTTTGTTTTCATTTTCTTAAAGCCAAATTACAGTTCAAGTATAAACTTGTCTAATTTGAGTCCTACCGCTAACTTTAATCCCACAGATCATTAAGAATGTTAGCATCCTAATTGTTTTGCAATGTTTTTGTTTATATAAGATTCTTTGTCTCTTTAATGTACACACACGCAGGTCTGTGTGCATCTGGTGATTAGCATTTGTTAGAAACAATGGTTGGAATTGTCAAGGATTTGGTTGATTTGTCTATCTTTCCATTTCAGGTTATGCTGACTTGTCCTTATCTGACCAAGTGCATCTGATTGAGTGCTGCTGGATGGAACTTGTCTTGCTTAACTGCGCCTACCGCTCAATGGAACATGAAGGCAAACGACTTGCTTTTGCATCAAACCTGATCTTGGAAAGGTCAGTCTGCTGTCCTCATATTCACTTGGATAGATAGCATCATTTTGTAATTGAAAGCTTGTTTCATAACTTCTAATATATTTCTCATTTAAACTTTTTCATAATCTTCATGGAGCTGAAATTTTTACCAACTTTTAATTAAAACTAACAATACTATGAAAAACAAAACTTTCCTAGTTATTCTACATTACAAAAATTATTAAATATTGTGAAGTTGATTTCTTTATTGTGTTAATTTGCTGTAAAATGTTGCTTTAAACAAAAAAAATTCTTTAGACAATTTTTCACAGTGTGTGTGTGTGTATATATATATATATATATATATATATATATATACACACACACACACATTCTGTGTATGTATACTGTTACAACCATCCTACTCCTCTAACTGGATCAATAGCAGAGATAGAGGAGGATCACAACCTGTATTATTATTTTTAACATGTATACAATTCTTATAACAGATTTCCTTCCATATGGGTCTCTTTCCAATTGATCAGACATGGCCAAGCGGAAACAATTAAGGAACAAACGTAATAGGTGATGAACAACAGAAAGTTGGGTATAGGGACAGCAAGTAATAAATTTATTATCAAAAAATACAAATAGAAAGAAGATGAAAGATGGACAGAACACAAAAAAAAAACAATAAGGCAAAAATGAACATTGTGGACAGAATAGTGGGAGGGGAACTTATACACTCGGAAAGTTAAAATTCCAGATCAACACATGATCTTGTGCCACACTTGCACGAAGTTACAAAACATGAAAAGTTAAAACAAGCAGAGAGAAACATGTAATACAAAAGATCTCATGCCAGGCTTGCATGAAAGTACAAACATAAAAAAAATACATTAAACAAAATGAAAACATATAAGAGAAACAATGAACTTATCTGGTCATAATAAAAGTTCTTTTTCTTTAATGTCCTTTATATCAATCTTCTTTTCCTTTCTCTTTTTAGATTTCTTTTCTCTTTTTCTTTTTCTTTTTGGATAGGTGTCTCTTTTCTTTTCCTTCCTTTTTTTTTTTTTTTTTTTTTTTTTTTTTGAGGGTTTTTCTTTCTATCTTTTTTCTTTCTTTCTTTCATATAAGTGTCTCTTTTTGAGGTCTTTTCTCTCTTTCTCTTTCATTTGGTCTTGAATTTCCCTTGATGTCTTTTCTCTCTTTCCTTTTCATAGAAGTGTCTCTTTTTGAGATCTTTTCTCACTTTCTTTTTCTTTTTATCTGGTCTAGGGGCTTGAGTGATGAATAAATTGAAGCTGTTTTCTTTCTTTTAGCTTTCACAAAAATATATCTTTCTTTCACCCTGATGTAACAGCATTTCTCATATGCCGGAATTTGTTTCCTTGAATCCAAATATTTCTTTTGCATATCCAAATCTATAGCTGATTATCGCACTTGTAGCCAATCGTCCATTCAGTTTGAAGAGGGACTTTTTTCGCATGACCAATTTTATAACTGATTATCGCCTTCATAGCTGTCTGTCCGCTCCATTCAAAGATGGACTCACTTTCGCATACCCAAATCTATAGCTGACTATTGCAGTCATATCCGACTCATCCTTCCAGCTTGAAGGCTTGGACATAACCATCACATCTATAGTGGACCCGTCTGGCCAGCCTGATAGAGACTAACTTTTTGTTTTACTGTTCATTTTTTTTTTCATCACATGGTCCTTATTTTCAAATAGGAACCTCTTTCCTGTGTGAACAAAATGAGGTCACTGACCCTTTCTCTCGCCTGCATTTTAACTAATATTGTTGCTCCTCAAGTAGATGTCATAGGGATGGGCATTTGAGGAAGAAAGGACTTTGCTAAGAAAAGAAGGAAAAAATTAAAAAAAAAAAGAATCAACAGTTTAACATGGTTTCCCCATCTGGGATCCATCTAGCTAAATCATGTTGTCAACACATGATGAAGAGAGGTAGAAAATGAACAGTCTGGTTAATATCTGTCAACCTTCAATTCTACCCTATCTCTTTGCTTTTCTATTTTTACGCTTTCTGAGAGTACTGACCTTTTTATTGAGAATGTTTCTAAAATATAAGCATTGATATAGATTTTATAATAAATTTAGATGAGGATATGGTGTATCAAAAATATTTTTACACACTTTGCGGGCAGGTTCCTGACACCAAAACAAGACCAAAAGTTCATATAAACATAGGAGTATTTGAAAAGGTCTGCCAGTCAATGATCCAACAGGTGCATGCATGTGTTGAAGCTAATGGAGACACATTTTGGACATTTGTTATGAGTTGCTGTGTTGGGATACAATGATAGCCTTTTGAACATGTGTTTATATGTACATTTTACTTTGTTTTGGTGTCAAGAATCCACCCCCAAAGTTTGTAAGTATTTTTGATAGACCTTGTATATAGGGTAACTGAAAAGTAACTCCCTATTTTATGTATGATGGACTCTCCTGTCATGTAAAATTATAGCTAGATGAGAGAGCCCATCATACATAAAATAGGGAGTTACTTTTCAAACACCTTATATATTTAGCAAAAAAAAAAAAAAATGATAAAACTGTATGAGTGCTAAAAAGTTCTTGGCTCAACCAAAAAAGCATTCCTCACAAATTTTTGAAGTTTAGTCAGAAGTGGGTTGAGCCAAGAAATTTTAAATCTCCTCTTCATACAAGTTACATAGCTAAAGCAATTTTTGTTTTTGCTTACATTGCTTTTATTTATATACCATGACTTTAAGATGCCTTGTTATTCTTGAGAATTTAATTTGTTAATTTCTACCAAAGTAAGGGCTTGTTCTCAGAAAAAACATACCTGATGAAGAAATAAGTGTAGTTAAAAAATGATTTTATTTTTGATGCTATGATTTGTAACTTCTCCACCTTCTTACAAAATAGTACTTATTTTATTTGTTTTGTTTTTTTTTTTTTTTAATTTTCAGACACCATTGGGAGATGTTAGGAATGACCCAGATATTGGAACAGGTGGCTGCAGTCAGTGAACAGCTCCTGCAGTTTGGTATCAATCGGGAAGAATTACTCTTACTGGAAGCAACTATTTTAGTCAATGCAGGTATGTATTCTTGCCTACATACATGCACTAATTTCCAAGTGGCTTCTTTTTTTCTTTAACAGTTAACCTTAATTAATTTATAATGACACAAAATATTGTTTCTTAATTCGCTATTAAGTATACTCTTAAAATCTGAATGGAAAGATAATCAAAAATATTCCTTTATTCACTATGTATTGGGAAAATGGCTTCTTAGTTTCATTTGGGAATTTTTAATAGTGATTTTTTTTTTTTTTTTTTTTCTTAATACAATTTTCTACAATTTATCCAATGAAAGTTCAGAATTATTGCATGAGAACTTAGAAAATAGGTAGCGTGTCAGTTTAATGTTTGCCAACAAAAAGGATACTGGCTAATGACTAACATTTCTGTCTTGTTTGCCTGATGCGATCTACATATATTGTCAGTGCAAATGATTGATTTTGTTGATCAACCTCATTCTTGAGTCATTAGACATTTTAAGAACAAAGTTGATTTCATCTAAAAGTAAGAGACTGTTAAATATAAATGTAAGGGGCGTAATCAGTATAATTTAAAAACAAATGTTTTTTTATTTATGTTTAGATTGCTTTGTATGAAAGTTTATCTGAATAACAAAGAAAACCATTAATTATTCTTTCTAATAGAACCTCAAACATGTTGACTAATAAACATTAAAAGTATTGGAAACTTACAACTTTGACATCAAAAGCATCTAACAATGAAATCAGTGGAGGACTAGAGTGATTCTTTATTCTTACACATGTTTATGGATGGTTGATGGTTCTTCAAGTAATTCTTGTTTTCTTCTTAATATTTAAACTTGATAGCAAGGAATGGGCATATGTCTTTTATTGCTCATTGTTAAGCACATCCTAATAGACTGCAACACATAAAAAGAAAAACGTGTAAAAATACTATGATGTACAAAACATTACCATACTTTTCAAAAATGTATGTGTTCCTCAAATAATAGGCTACCTGAAAGAAGTAGGCTGCTTCCAACACCTATAGAAGAAAGTACAATACATTTTATTATCTATAAACTATATCTCTTATAGAAAAAACATACATTTACCCTGAATGTATAAAATTGCATACAAAATATCTGTAATTGAAGCCATAAAATTGCATACAAAATATTTGGATTTTGGCATTGAGTAGACTATGGAGGTTGTCATGCGATTCGGCATTAATGACCCATAGTGGTTGATATACAGGTTAAATAACCTGTAACAGCTTTAATTGCTCACATCTTCTCTAAATCATGCAACAATAAATCAACTTTTCATTTCCAGGTCATACTTGTAAAAATTGAGTGTCTTAATTGACTAAAGATTTTTTTTCTTTAACATGTTTCAAGATCTGCATGTGAATTTTTCTTCTTGACATTTCCTTACTTGTTATTTTGGTTGTTGTCATTTCAGAAGTGCGGAGGTTGGCTGGATTTAGTAAAATCGATGACATTCGGCAAATAATTCTGAATGCCTTGATCGACACTGCCCAAAAGTACCATCCAGACAACCCGCGGCACGTTCCATCCGCCCTCCTGCTGTTGAGCCATGTGCGCCAGGCATCAGACCGTAGCATCACATATTTACAGAAACAGAAAGATGAAGGTCACGTGACATTTTGTGAACTCATTAGAGAGATGCTTGAAGCACAGAACATTTTAACTGATATTGTTGCTCCTCGAGCAGATGTCATAGGGATGGGCACTTGAGGAAGAAAGAACATTGCTAAGAAAAGAAAAGAAAAAAAAAGAATCAACAAAATTTTGAATGAAAGTGAATTATTGGGTCGGGCGGGGGGCTATGTGACTTTCAAAGACAAAAATGCCTAACCATGATGAGCAAGATTATTATTATTATTATTATTATTATTATTATACAATGATTTTTATTTTTATATGATTTTTATCTTTTTTTCTCTTTTTACCCTTTAAACTGGCCTGTGTATTTCATACAGAAAATAGTGGTTCATTTTTAATGTTGAATTTTATTCTTTTTTTCTAATTGGAACTCCATTTCTTCCACACTTATACATATACTCATATGTCTATACCAACCAAAACCATGCAGCTGAGTCTGGCACCTAGCTTACACTTTAGCCAGAGTATCATTAAAATTTCCAGTTTTTATTATAGCAAGGTTCACACAGATTCTCCCAATTCTAATGGAAAGGAGAATATACCACTTATTATTGTTTGAAGTTATTCCCTTTAGGAACACAATTATTTCTTTACATAAATTGACATTTGTTTGTTCAAGAGAAGAATTTCTTTTCTTTATTTTTTGCCAATCTCCTTTTGTTTTAGCCTCTTTTCTGTTTCATTCATATTATGAACCAACAGCTACAGTCAAGAGCCACACTGAACAGTAAACAAAATTGGCTTGTTTCAAAAGCAACTTCCTCATCTTTAAACTTGGGTTTGAAAATAGTCACTTTGGCAACTAAAACTACTTTCACAGCCCATAAGTAATCATATTTTATGAACAATATTAGATTATTCTTTTAAAAAACATTTGGTGACACATTTGAATAAATGATAGGAAAATTTAACCCTTTTTTTCTCTTCCTTCAAACAGCAAATCAAGAGTTATTTTAATTTGAAGCCCACGGGTATTATTAAATTGTATAAATATTATTTCATAATTCCATCATTTATTAATTTGCTAAAATCTACACACCACTTTGTTATTGGTCATTTAATCACTGTTTCTTTGAATTTGACTTGTACAATATTTTGAAAACTTGACAAATGTCACCATCATTATCTTCCATTTGTTGAATTTCCTTCCTTTTAATACTGAGCTTTCAATTCTGAATTTAGTTTCCATTAAGAAAGCCTGAACATTAAAAGACAATAACAGAATTTCTCCTTCCTGTGTAAGACTTCAATGTCAAGAAATTCTGTTTCTTTGAGATGATTCAATTATATTGATGTAGTTGTTGATTTTTATCATCATCATTCCTATTAAGAATTGAATCTTGTCTAGTGAAAAGTTAGCATCTGCCAGCAGCAGCACACCCTGGAAGAGACTGGATTTACAGAATAAAGAATAACAGTCCTAAGCTTTTATTGTACATGAAAATAAGAAAAAAATCTTATTAAACAGTAGATTAATTTTTTTCTTCTGTTAATAAAATCATTGATTTTTCATACATATGAACAAATATACACACACCTTTTGGTTTCTCATGGACATTTTTCTTAAAAGAACAAGAAAGAAATTGTGTTATTGAAATAGTCAATTTCCTGGAAATAACAACAAAAAAAAAAAGTTTCTATTTAATGTCAGTTCAGTTAACTTCTGCTGATAATTTATTTTTTTAATGGGTTGATTTTTCTAACTTTGGTCTCTATCACTTACGCAAAAAGGATGAAAATACATTTACGATCATTTTTATCTTCTGAAATTGGTGCCCAAACTCATTGAAAAATCAAAAAGTTTTAATAATTTTAGTTTATATTTTTCCTCCACCTCATAACACCTTTCAGTTTAATACCAGCAAGTAGTTGTCAATTAAACACATATGCAAAATACTATTTCCGTCTTCTACCACCACCACCATCATCATCATCACCACCACCACCACCACCACAAATAAAGTCTCCCATGTTCTTTGTGACTAAAAGGATGAACAAAAATCTGTATAAAAATCTCCCTTTAGTGTTCTTGGCTAATTCTTCCTTTTTACAAAAACCTTAGCAAGCTATCCTCACCTGTCTGAAAGTTTGTGATATTGTTTTAAAAAGAAAACAATACAACATTAATCTGCACAGTATTTTTGGTTCAAGTGTTTGGGCAGAGGTTTGAATTTACATTTAGTACAAGCGCACTTTATATAAAAGCAGCTTTATACTTAGGTATCCTCTGTGGTACAGATATTTGTAATGAATGTGTTCTTAACCTATAAATTAGCCTGGGACTATGTTGCACTTTTGCCCATTGGAAATTTAGACTTTAATTGTTGCTTCATAGGTTCAGCCAAGAAATCTGTTAAGTAGATAGTAATGGGATTCTAAGTTTGTTTCATTCTATCTTTCATTTGTTCATCCATATCTTCACTTTGCTGCATCTATTCATTCAGATTTCCTTATTGTCATTCTTTCATTGACATTTACAAAGTTTCCCTTGGCTGAATCCAACTTACATTTGGATAAAATTTATTTGAAAATGACATTTTTTTTTTTATAAAAAGAACATCTTGAAATGGGGGTTATGTTGTCATATATCAGCAAACACAGGCGTTGGTGAGAAATGTTTGTAGCATCAGTTGGTGAAACCGTCAAGAATATTGTAGATATTTTACTTGAGGCTGGCAACAGTTGGTTGACTTTGAGCTAACTCACCTACACAGCATGTGTGTGTGTGTTTTTTTTTTTTTTGTTTTTTTGTAAATCAACATACCTTTATATATCATCTCTCTTGTACTCTCTCTCATCTTTTCAACTCTTGTTTCTGTTCATTAACCTCTTCCCACCCAGTTTACTTTATCTTTTCCCTGCTTTTGTCAGCATTACAACCACCTCTTTCCCATTACTAATCTAAGTAGGGTTATTTTATATGATTTCGAATTTCTACCTTTTGCTCAGACTTTTATCTCAGATTGTTTTACTATCTTTTTATAATTCTTTTATTCAATTGATCTTGCTCATCATTGTGGTTAAGCATGTACATGTCTAGGAATGTCTGTGTGAATGAAATGCATTTTTTTTTTAAACTCCGTATGGTGCTCTTTCTACAACCCTATAACAGGTGCAAAGGGAGTTACTTCCCTTTGGCTACTCCAAGTGCTGCTCCTGCTCTTCCTCTTTGTATTCCTCTTCCTCCATTTAGAGCCACACTCTCTTCACAAAGACTCCAGCAACAGCAGCATCCAATGCTGGCTGTGCCGAGCATCTTCCAAAAGACACCCTGCCCCTCCCCTAATGGAAATCAACGACGGACGGCAACCAGGAGAATTACTGCTGCTGCTGCTGCAGTCTTGCCCTTCAATCCTGCTGTTAAAAGAAGAAGAGAAATGCAAGTTCCATAGAGGGAGTGTGGCAACACAATCAGAAACTGTCACCATCGTTGTACATGGATATGATCTCGTCAGACTACAAGAAAAATGGAATGAATTAGAAGTCAAGACAAATTTGAATATAAGAGGAAAAAAAAAAATCTTAATTTAAAAAAATGGGTGGGGGGGAGAAGAAAAATGCTGCTACTGTGACACACAACTAAGAACATTTTTAATAATTATCATACTTTTTTTTAATTTAAAAGAAAAAAAATGTTTATTATAATTTTTACAAAAATCCCTTGTCCTCTCTAGTATTGTTCAACAAATTACTTTGTATCTGTTTTTAGCAGCTAGCCATCCCCAAAGAATCCCACCTGCTGCTGTGCTGCCACTTTTTTCTCATCTCCCTGCAGCTCCCCTTCCCACTCATTTCCATGGATTCTTATCCTTTGTCTGCCTGTGGTGCTTGACATTAGCAAATCCATTTATTTCACTATCATCAGTAACGAGTGGAAGATGTCATTTTGCATTAGTCTTTAACTGCCTCCTGGGACATCCCCCCTCTCCCCATTTGGAAACTTGGGGTTTCTAATAAAATGTAGATTTTACAATCTGTGTTCTATGCATGCAACACTGTTAGAGGAGGTCACAAGTCACTAACACAAAGACTATGCAATCACTTTCAGTTCTTTAGAGGGATTTTGTAGGATTAAAGAACTTTTATTAGTTTTGATGAGGAAATGTATAAGGACCAAGTCTTTCTCGCATTGTTGCTTCTCCTTTCTCATCATCATTTGTTTATGACTCATCCAGTTTGGGTTGAAGCAGGCATCCAGACTTCCTTAAATCCCCCACCACCATGTTTTTTTTGTTTTTTTTTTTAAACTCACAGCAACCAACGACTTCTGTACTTATAAATCTGTAATCACCCTAACAGTACAAATATATATCTTTCACAAAAGATGTTATAATGAGAGAACTGCCTGATGATAATTTTTATTTTCAGCTCCTGATATATTAAAACGTCCTTTGAGCAAAAATTATAATCCTCATACCCACCCCACCCAACCCCATTTATGAAAATTTGTCAGTTTGGGGAACACAAGATTTGATTGAAATAAGCAAAGAAGAAACCTTAACAAACATTTATGGCCTTCACAACATAGTAAAATTCAAAGATCAAAATTTCAATCCCATGTAGAAGAAAGCTGGAATTGATTTTCTCTTTGCCCAAATCACACAAAGAATAATTAAGCCTCATCTAAAAAGATGTCTTTTCTAATATTATCTCTGTTAGCTTTTATATGTCTGTCTGTTTTAAGCTTCTGTTTATCTTCATTGCTATGATTTATCAAGTCAAATTCAGTCTGAATGGGTCAAAAGATTGAAAATAAGCTAAACTAGAAAAGGGGTTTCCTTTGGGGTCAAAATATTTTAACCTTATTGGAAGTCTCATATCCCTAAATGAGAATGGATTTTGCATGCCTTGTTGATGCTCCCAAAGAAATAGAAATTCAGCATCCATCATCATTATTATTATTATTAAATTGATTCCGATGCAGTTAACTAGTTGGACAAAAATTGGTTTGCAGTGTAATTTATTATTTTAGCTGCAAGTGAATTTGTGTCTAGGACGAGAAATATTTGTAAGCCTTTACACTCCACTGGCTGCTGAAGTCACATATCATTTATTGAATGCCAAAAACAAAG